AAGATAGCAGTAACAAAGGACTAATCAGCATTCCTCTTGCTTAAGCTTAGTAAACGTAGGATTTGAGTATACCTCTATGCTTTCTAATTCTCATTGTTAGACTAGGGATTATTTTGAAAGCTACTACTATTCATTGCATTTTTTTCTAATTATTTTGGAAATTTTCAAAACTCTCGACATGTGATTTAAGCCTAAGCGGATAACCACGAATCGTCTTAATTCATTGTTTGAATTTGCTAGTAATTTTGTTCTAGAATTATTCTAATAATGAGTTGTGCAAAATCCATATGAGTTAAAGAGCATTTCATTTTCGTAGTCCTGAATCATATGCGGTAGAAGTTTTACAAATCTAACAGAGATAAGATAACAATCACCTACCTCGATCTGAGCAATTTTTGTAAAAACAAACGGATCAATGAATATATATGCATAGCGCCACAACACCGCCACACAATGTTGCATGTTGAATTCAAAATTAATGTAGAATAGAGGCTTCAATGCCGTGGTGGCAATTTTTGGCACCGCTATGCCTGAGGCTCAGTGCCACAGCGTCACAAACTCAGTTATGCAGCAGTCCAGTTCAAACAGAATTTCAGATTCTTCATTTTTAAATTAAATTCAGAAATTTCAGGTTATTATAGTTGTGACTAGCCAGGCCATTGCTAACAGAGGCTAATGATGTTTATAATCATGCTTCAATTCGTAAATTGATTGATTGCTTTGTCAAAATTTTTTTCTATTTGGAATATTTATTTTCTTTTTTGGGATTGCTGTAATCGGCTGTCACAGTTTTGAAGTAGAAGAAAATTAAAATGTTTTTTAGGTGCTTAGCGATAAGCTGCTGCATTTACTTTACAACTAGTATTTATTATATTCCTGCTTAAAACCCCTTGATAGTAAATCCGTCATATGGAATTTTTCTACATTCAGATTATAGACTTTTCTACAGGGAATTGTTTAGGGGGTTTAAATTCGATTTGTCAGGTGGGACTCTTATGGAACATTGTAAGTTTGAAGAGACAACGAGAGTTCTTAAAGTTAGCTCCAAACTGTTGGAATAAAGCTATTGATCATGTTGATTTTAATGATGGACCTAAAATCCAAGTAACCTTTCAAAGATTTCAACTCTGGTACTAGAATGTTCTGCTCACACTGCAATAAAATTAACCAGCAACATAGAACACTGCACTATTAGATTCTCTTGGTTAATTTCAAATCCTCATAATCCATTGTGAACTAAATTTATTTAAATATTTTGTTTGGAAACTGAATGCAGTACGTTATTTTTCAGTCTCCCAATAGAGGAACTCAGAAGACACATTCGAGGCATTCTTCTGAAGGTTTAACTGGTCATTCTTTGATAAAATCTTCTAGATCTGATGGCTTGTTCATGGAAAGAGGATCTACTGCACCCACCAGATTATCAACTTCTGTGTCCTTGAACAGGCATGGCTTCATAGAACAAACTTCAGTTTCCAGAGAACTGTTTATAACCTCTCCTGGACAGTCAAATGAAAACTCTTCTCCTGGAGGTAGTTCTTATATGCCTCCATTTGAGTTGAGTGCAGTTTTGTTTCAATTTTGTATTTTCACTAGTCATGTATGACAACTATTTTTAACTTGTTTATGACATGAAAACCAGAAGCAGATTTCTAGTATATAACCTCTCCTTGTCAGTATTTGAACTATCGCATCACTTCTAGGGATTGGTGCTTAAGCCATGCTACTACTTTTTCGTGGAATTAATCTCTATATTATCAAAGTAATTAGTTTGATTTGTTAAATTTTTAATGGCTGTTTCCTTATGTTCCTCACATCACTATTATAAACTATTGCAGATGCCCCTTCAGAACCCCTATCTTGGGCAAAAGAGCCAACGAACAGTCCTGCTAAACTTGAGGCAATGGTAATTGGGGACAATGAAGAAAATTGTGATGCAGATAATGAGTTGCAAACTTTCCCGTATGAGCTTTTGAAAGTATCGTCAGGTACAACACTGGCAGGCATAGATGTAACAAGACGCGAGGTAAATTTAAAGTCTCTTTCTATAATATGCATCTTTGTATCTTTATGGTTTCCTAGATTTAAATCTTTTGTTGTATCATCTTGGTAATTCGGTTATGAAATCAGCATTTCATAGGTGCATTTGCAGTCAATATATAATATCTTCTTGCTTGATGCTCTTCCAGTTTATAATCTTGATACAAAATTATGCATGATTTTTTATTAAAATTTAAAATGAGATATTTCATTAGTGCTTACGGACAACTTTTGTAAATATGATGAACTGATCAGATCACATACATCTGCAGAAGTTGTATATTGTTTTGCTTAATTTTCTTTCGCCAATTAATGAAGGGAATTAAGCTGAATTAGTAAAATAAAGGCTACCTGATTGGAATTGAATTTTTGCAGGCTTATTTATCCACTGAGGAATTTAAAGTGAAGTTTGGAATGAACAAGAAGGCATTTTACAAGTTGCCAAAATGGAAACAAAACAAGCTAAAGCAGGCTCTCAATCTATTCTAAGGTATATTATATTCATTAGGCAATTCTGGAATCCCTGAAATGATTTTCTTCTCAATTAGGGTTTAGGGTTTAGATTTACAGTTACTGTTCCAAAAAAATATTATTCATGATCATACTCTGTTCTTTACTTCTCTTTGAGGTGTAACTGTCCAAATTGTTTCCATTCTCTTGGCTTATTGCTGCTTAAAGATCATCTGATTGAAGTAATTAAACTAGTTCATATCCATAGATTTACTACTGATAGAATTGGTTTTTCTGGACTTTTGACAGAGGCTGCTGCTCAGAGGATGAAGTTTCTAAGATCTAATTCTGTGTTTCTCAAGTATGGAAAGTCTTAACCAGCTCAGAAGAAATTTCATGTGAACTACCTGACATAGATCTGTTTTCATCCCTGATTTAGGCTTCGTTTGGGACTGCTTGCTCATTGTTTTCTAAAGCAGTTTTTTAATATAAAAATAGAAAATTTTGTACTAAAAAGCTGCTTTTGAAAATATTAAAAAAACTGCTCCAAACGAGCCTTGGATAGCTGCGACTTAACTATATATTTTCATCAAAAGTCAGTTGAAGTACTGCAATAATATCTTTTGTTACTACATTAAATTCAAGCTGATTATCGTGCAAGTCTTGGGCTAAGTTTAGTTCAGATAAGGATAATTACAGTGTGACTGGCTTTCATCTTTCATGAGGGAATTGTGTACTGGAATGAATGGCAGAGAAGAATGCCAAAAGCAATTCTATTTCGTTCTTTTATTAGCGGCCCTTCACAATTTTATTTTTCGGATAGTTATCATATTTTTGTGTTGGCTAATTTTTTTTTTTTAAAATAAATTTTATGATGAGTTATTTACAAGCATATCTATTCGAATGTAAAATATGTCTGATTTTTTCAGAATAAAAAAATTACAATACTTGAAGAAATTTTTAGAATTTTGGTGTTGTTGATGCACTTTATAGTCTTCGTTTGGGACGACTTTCTTATTGTTTTTTAAAGCAATTTTTTAGTTAAAATTTTTTAATTTTTATATTTGAAAGCTGTTTTAAGAATTAATAAGAAAGTTGTTTCAAATGCAACCTTAATCATAAAATAAAGCTTTTTGAGTTTACTAACAATGTTCAATGGTCCCTGCCTCACCTATGATTGATCAAATTCTCAATGCTAATATGCAAAAGAGTCTTCTACCTAATATTTCTGTCCTTCAAGAGGTTCTTAAAGTCATAGGGTATAAATATATTTGGTTTAAAGGTTATACTATTAACTACTCTTTTTTTGCTTGATAAATATTAAAAGTTGGCCTGAAAAATGTTGAGTGATTGTAAATAGGCGAATTATGGTTGACCCAGCAACCCAAAATTGATCCGAAAGTGACTCTGAAACTCATATTTGACCCGAAAACTCGAGATTATTTTGTTTTTAACTCAATTTTGACCCGAAAATTGAATATTGACCCGATTTTTGATCCGAAAATTAGCAATTTTAGGTCAATTTGGGGTCATTCGTGTCGGGTTGACTTGGACCCGAATTGGGTCGGGTTCGGGTCTGGAAACTTGATCCGTTTTTAAAATGGGTCGGATTCGGGTTGACCCGAATAGTGCCGGGTCAGTTTCGGGTTCGACCCGAACCTGACCCGCTGACCTGAATTGACACCCCTACCTAGCATAAAAGGAATAGTAGGGTTTTAAGAAACAAAATGACTAATGTCCAAACATTGATTGAAAAAATTCATTTTGCCATAAAACTCAAAAGCAAAAGATGAAAAGTGGAAGGGACCTTACCTACAAGTATTTTGCAGCTGTATTTCACCTAATTTATTTTCGCTCCCAAGATTGTCTTTGTTGGGTTATATTCATGCATTCTCCACAATAGTTGGGTGTGTCTGTTGTATTTGTTGTAGTTTTTCTGACATTGCCTTTTGGCTGGATGTGGCTTTTCTTTTGGTTTCCGACTGAATTTTTTTTTTGGACATTTAGGCCATTTAAGGCAAACTCACACACACAACGCATACACAAAGACTTGAACCCAATACCTCTTAGTTGGAAGCCTAAGCTCTCAACCAACAAGATAAGGTGAGCTGTGTACTGAATTTTTATTGACGGACGGCTTTTGTTGTGTCTTATTCTTATTTGTTATTATGTCTTCTTTCTACTTATTAGTAATTTATCGGTGTCGATATATTATATTTATTGTGGTCAATTGCTATGACTAATAATTATTCTGATCATTTTTTATTTGGATGGCTTTTTTTTTTTTACCCGGTGATATTCTATTTTGATATTCATCATTTATTTTGGGCACTTCCTATAATTATTAGGAGGACATTTTTATGCACTTTTCTATTATCTTGGGGCTTGAATTTCTTTCAACTTATTATGAGAATTTTATGAATTTTAATTTTTAATATTTGTAGAATATTCTTAATAAAAATAAAAAGCATAACTTATGTGTAATTAAAATTTATTAATGAATATGCTGGTTGTGATTCTAAAAAAAAAATAAAAAAATAAAAAGGCCACTTTTCATTCCAAGCAGCTATCAAATGCCGGAGCGACCGAGAGGAGAGTGAGTAAGCGGCGGCGGCGAATCTTCCATTCTTCTCGCCGTCCAGCGGGTTTTTTCTCTTGGTTCACAGACATAATCTACCTTTTTAAAAACTGAATCCAACATTCATCTGAAGCCGGAAGTCATTCCCTCCTTTTCCTTCACACTCTCTCTACCCCTCCCATTCCGAGATTTGGATTGAGCTGCAGGGGAGCCCGTCTTCCCGCTATCTCTCGTTGCCTGCGCAGAGTTTACGCTGATAATTTCCCGTTTATGTATCTGGATTCGCCACTGAGGAGAAGGCATGGCGTCGATCTGGGACGACGACGGTGCGCCGGACGTCTCGCATGCCCTCATCGCGATCATCTTCGCTCTGGGGTTCGCTCCCGTGAGGTTCTTACTCGATTTCCTCGTCTACAAGGTACCGTGCTGGTTACGGCCAAGCGATTTCTATTTTGTTTTCGGGAGTGAAATTTTTGTGATGGGGCTCTCTTGACGTGGGGATTGGGATGGAAGTAATACTGTTTTATTACGCTGTCTGGTCATTGGATTCTCAGTCTGAAAGATTTCTTTGGATAAATGCTTGGTTTTTTTGGTCTGGGTTGCTTTGCTTTAGGCATGTGCATTAAAAATGTATTGTTCTGTTCAAAATGAATTATGAATTCCCTTGGATTATATGACTCAAAATTATTTCATGAGGTTTATGTGATCCAAATAATGCTAGAGATTGCCTTTTCCTCCATTTTAATGTTCTTTGATAAGCGATCAATCTATAAAGATATGGCACACAATGAACTCATTTCATCTTATTTATTCTCTTACAACATTTAGAGTATAATGATGCATCAAGCGTCTCTTTTCAAGCTTGAGGATTGCAGTATCATGTTTGATCAACGATGGTAAGTTCACTCTTATAGTTTTAAAAAAAAAATCTTAATATTATAAACCTTAATTGTTTACTATAAATCATTTAGGACCAATTTACATTAGTTCTGAAATTCTTCTCCAACTGAATTGCACCATTAATAATTTTCTCGTGAACATCCTCAAGTTTTTCAATGCATACTCCATAAAACAAATTTGCTTCACTAGATATCCAAGAAGGTTTACCTTTCTCAATTTAATCTTGCAATGTCTTATTCAATTAGTTCTTCTGCATAGCATTTAACAAAGATGTTTCAGTGTTATGAAATGTTGGTAAACCACTAAATCAAGAAATTTAACTTGTTAAGTAGGAAAACCGTCTTTTTTCATTTAGTTTTACTCATAGTTCGCTTAGTCAAAATCCCAAAAAAAAAATGTAAATATCTATTATGTATTTTTTCAGTCATTTGAGAGTCTCTACACATTCAAATCACAATTATCTTCTAATACAATCAGCTACATCCATTCTTGAAAGTATGTATGCCAGCATATTTTATGTTGTTACCAAAAATAATTTTGGTATTGCATCTAAAAGCTATATAATTGGGGTTCTTCTAGAAAGTTCATCTGTTCATAATATATTCCCTAGAGCTAATCCTTTTCATGGACATGTCGTGGTCCACATATAAATAATTTTTTCATGTCCTTATGCCCTGTCACATCCAATTTGTGACTTTGTTTATGATTAATGGAATACACTATTTACTAGTTCATAGAGGAGTAACTTTTTTTTTGGTAGAATTGTAACAGCAACTAATACTCATCTGGTAACTGCTTTGTTATTTCATCATAGCAAATTAGGCTGATTTGCCGTGAGAAGTTTTCAATTATTGCACTTACCACTAAATATAAGTGTGTTTTTCATCAGCGGCTTGCAATGAGATTATTGCATAGTGGAAGAGCTACATTGGTGATTGATGAAACTAGACAATTGAAGGTTTACAAGTGTTCAGAATCAATGTGGAAGTTTACGTACTATGTTAGTGTTCAAATGTGGGTAATATCAATACTTCGCCAAGCGCCTTGGTCGATGAATACGAAGGAATACTTTAAAGGATGGCCAAATCAAGAACAAGGGTAGGTACAGCGGCATGATTTGGTAATTAATGAAGCTTAATGGCTTTTCTGTCTCCAAATAATCTAGGTGCACTGATTTTCTTCTTTTTTCTTGTTCTTACTAGGTTTTCGACGAAGCTATTCTGTATGTGCCAATGTGGATATTATACATACAGTATTGTTGCTCTTTTGATATGGGAAACTCGAAGAAAAGATTTCTATATAATGATGTCACATCACATAATTACTTCCATTTTAATTGGTTACTCTTACATCACCAGGTAGTTTATTCATGCATAAATGATCATGCAGTTTGTGTTATTCAGTTAGACTTCACTCGAAAAGGATATCTCATTGCAAGCTTTTCATAAAAGGAATTTAGTCTTAGGATGGTTGTCTTACTAATAACTGCAGTAGCTTTACTCACACAGAATACAAGTAATGATATATACACATATAAAATGTAAACCTACGTATTTATTTATGAGACGTTATATATTATTTATTAGCTTCTCAAATATGATGATTTAGGCCTTTTTTCCCGGTAACTGATGTTTGATCAGGTTGGTAATTAAACTTTTTTTTTTTTTTGCAGAGATTCGAACCTATGAACTTTGATTTAAAGATCAATAGCAATACCAATTAATCACGAGGTTGTTAACCTGAACTTGTTTGAGCAAGTAAACTGAGTTAGTTCTTTAACAGTCTATGGGCTTTAAAAGAGTCTCTAAAAAAGGAAAGTATCACCACAAAGAGAGGAGAACTAACCGTTGATGGAAGATAGATTGGAAACATTTCGTAAAAATTTCCTCTAAACAATGCGGAGGATTGAATAGTATTTATTTAGTCAGGGGAGACCAAGATTGAAAAGTCCCCCTCAAACTTAAGGGAAAATTCTATAAGATGTTGGTGAGACCTGCAATGCTTTATGGTGTTGAATGTTTGCCATTAAAAGAGAATCATAATACTAAGTTAAGTGTTGCAGAGATGAGGATGCTCAGGTGGATGAGTGTCTTTACCTTTAGAGATAAGATACAAAATGAGCATATGCGTGAAAAGGTTGGTGTAGTTCCAGTGGAAGATGAGATTAGAGAGAATCGCCTTAGATGGTTTGGTCACATAAAACGGCGGCTTTCCGATGACCTGGTTAGGAAAGTAGAGATATTAGATTTGACTTATGTTAAGAAAAGTAGATGTAGACCTAAAAAGACTTAGTTAAAAAGTATTCGAATAATTTTTCTTTATTAGATTTAAATTAGAATTTGACTTTTAACATGACACAATGGAGAAAAAGGATTCATATAGCTGATCCCACGTAGTGGGACAAAGGCTTGTTGTTGTTGTTGTTGTTGTTGGGAGACCAATATTTCACATAGGCATAAACCATGATGGTTAATTACAACCCGTGTGTGATACCTAAGACCACTTTTGATTAATGATACTTTTATAATTCAGCAATGGAGATAAAGTTCATTCAACACAAGGTTCGTAGATTGAAATCCCTTATTGGAAAGGATAGATACCAAGGAATTAGAATATCATTCAAACGAAGGATTAATGAGAATATCATTCAACACAAAGAGATAAGCCTCTCATGAAGATACTCTATAGGAAGATGGGATTTATAACTTCACAATAATTAAGTGGGGTAACTAAGTGAGCTACCCATGACATGAATAATAAAAGAATAATGGGATTAATATTATTAGAGAAGCCATCAAAATATGACTCAATGAGTTGTACGAAAGAGTTGTGTTAGGAATGAAATTATAGAACATCAAACGACTTTGGATCATTAGAGAAGTCCCAACAAATTTCAAGTCAACAGATCGTGCATAATGATAGGAGTTGAGTGTTATGCAAGTTGAGGTATCTTAACTCAAGAAAAGGGGCTTAATTATGATGCTCCCAACCCCTCTAGAGGGAGCCACATGAAAGTGGGGTTAGTAATACCATATAGGTACATGCCCCAAAGTTCAAAAGGGGAAGAGGCTTACAACTCCTCAACAATTAAAGGTTGATTGCTCAATGCCCATAGCGGACTCACAATATGCTAGAAAATATTTCTTGTTGATTGATTGAGATAGTGAGACTTATGAAGTGGATTATGGCAAGTTCTCTTCTAAGTCTAATACAAGTAATATGATATGTGAGACTATTCTTCTAAAAGTTGGCAAGATGCTCATAAAAGAAATTACAACTCACTTTTGTGAGATTGGAAATCCTACCAACACATCATACATTCTCAAACTCCACCTAAGTGAATTTTAAAAGTGTTGTTAAATCTCAATGCAATATAAGATAAATTGACCTATAGGGAGAAAATGGGTCTTACTATCTTGCACACATGTATATAATTTTCGTAATACACATATGTGAACAAGTTGAAAAAGCAGATTTAAAATGAACAAATATAGCATTGTGTATTTGCTATAAGCTTGTATCACATCAATATGCAATAATACACAGTACATAATAGAAAAAAAAAAATTCTCACATAATTTTCATAATTCACATATGTGAACAAGCTCAAAAAGCTTTAAAATGAATAAATACATCATTATGTATTTGCTATAAGCTTTCATCATAATAATATACAACAATACACAGTTTATATTAAGCAAACAAATCATATTTGACATAAATTTTACACAGTTTCTATACAAAACATGCTTCTTTCGGGCGTTCGAATACAAATAATTGAATAATACACCCTAACATAAATTTTACATAGTTTCTGTACAAAAGCATGCTGATTTGCAGTAGATGCAAAAAGGTGACATGTGAATGTCCTAAATCCTAAACCCTAACAACTATTTTAGATAAACCATTTACATAACAAATAGCTTCGGCATTTCAACATATCCAGTGATAAAGTGCCACTATGGAGATAAATCTAACCTAAACTTCAGCATCCGCATGTAATAATTTCTCTTTGAAGAAGAGAGCGATCATTATTCTAAGATGAAGAGCGCATGAATTGAGAGCTAAAAGGAAAGACGATGAAAAGTGAAATGACTCCGAATTCCGGGACTTTTGGTTTGCCGCGACTTTAAAATTCACTGACCGGGTTAAAATTTTTTACCTATGGACCAGTGGATCAGGTCGTGTCGTCGGGCCACACGTGTCAGCATTTTATTAGAGTCCGGACATAGAGCTACATTCCGAACTCCGAACCTAATAATTTCTCCGGCTTAATGGGCTTGAAGGCAACACCAAAGTGTAACTTAGGGGAAGTGTTATAATAGTTTTTCCAAGCCTATGAATGAGGTGGCAAATTGGAGGAGTCGACAAGTTTCAACCCAATGACTTGGGTGGTGCCAAGTAGCAATTCCCCCATAGCGCAAGCAAAACCTCAAACAAAGAAAAATAATTCTGGTAAATTGGAAGCCAACAAGTGCAGAGCTCAGGGTGGCATTGATAGTGATGTCGCCAAGACATCTGTGTGGCAAGGTGTCATGTTAGTCATTGTGACCTAACATGTTTGGCGACATCTATAGAAGACATGCTGCACACTGATTGTGATGTCCGAAGAGCATCAACGGCGCCTAAAGCGAGAAGTCATATTTAATGAGATCACAACATATTATCACAGGGAGACGACTTTTCCTATTAAGAAGATGGTGAGCCACCCCTAGAAATGATTACAACAAGTCATCCCAAGTCAAGAGGACAAGTTATCTCAGGAAAGGACATTGACATGTTATCTCATGGAAAGACGGCAAAACATCCATGAAAAGTTATCCTAATATGGGATGATATCAAGTCACCCCATAATAGAATGACAACAAGCTATCTTGCAAAGAGTCAAACAATAATTCATTAGGATATAGCTGGTCGTCTCTTAAGAAACTGTTATTCATCTCGTAGACAGTCAACAAATCATCCTAGAATGACAAGTTATTCTTCAAGAGATGACAAGTCGTCCCAAAATGGGACAGTGACAAATTCTCCGAGATGACAAGTCATCCAAAGAGTGAAGGTGGCAAGTTCTCATAGAGAGTTGGCAGATCATCTCAAAACGGGACAATGACGAGTCCTCTCAAAATTTGATAGTGGAAATTCATTACTCAAGAGGTGGCAAGTCATCCCCAAATGTCATGATGATGGTGTTACCCCCATGAACCACCTGACTCTAGTTTGGATTTTGATGATAATAAACATATGATTAAAAGCATATAAAAAGTAAATTTAAAATAGCTCATTATGGAAGAATTATTTTTTAAGTCTTATTATAATGGATGAATGTACGACTGTCAAATTCATGATTATATTTGGTTTTGCATTTGCATCATCATGCTTTAAATTCTTTTAGAGCAAAAAAAAAATTTCTTACAGAATATAAACTCTTAAGTTTACTGCTCATTCACAAAGTTAACATCAAAATCTAATTTTATGTTAGGAAGTAGGTAAAGTTAACAAGGTTTAAATAACTTAATGAAATATTCAAATACCTTGATGATGCCACATTGCCAGAAGATATCAATTAAAAGGGACCATGATTTTCAAAATACCCTCAAATTCCAAAGTTTAGATAGGTAAATTTAAAACAAAATTTATTCATCCTCCACATTCATTTGCTGAGGATAATAAATTTGAGAATAATCCTTGCTCATAAAGAGCTAATATCTTATCAAGCGCATTGCTACTATTCATTCTCAATCGACCTCTTGTTAGTAAAGACGTGATATGTGTACTCTAACCAAAGATTTTATTGTTACATAACATCATAGGTAAATGGTTATGACTAGCAACCTTTGACTTGGGGATTTTGTTGCGAAATGACACGATTAAATATAGTCACTATCAAAGCTTATAAGTTTCTCAATAGTTAAAAACCCTCAAATAATCAATCATAGGGTGCACTTAATTGGACATAAAATCTTCTGTTAGCTATGTAAACTTAAATTTGTCCCCTTAAGGCAATCATTTATCTCAGATGGAAGGAGGGAAACCGATGCTTCACCCTCTTGTATGGTTCTCAAGTAGCATCATTGTCAAATAAGTTCTTCCACTTAATTAACATTTCCTTGGACTCGCCCTCTCCTTGATGAACTCCTTTAAGCTTGAGTGGTTCCAAAACCACCTCCAGATCTCGTGTCAGCATCCCTAATAGTTTTGAACTAGCTGCATGATCTCCCATTGCTCTCCTCAACAGTGATACATGGAACACTGAGTGTATAGAAGTCGTTGAAGTGGTAAGCCACTGCTCCAATTCTCTCCAATATCTCATAAGGGCCAAAGTACCTCAGGGTTAACTTCTCATTTCTTATGTTGGCTA